AAGGCTACACTGTTATCACTTTGCAACTTGCTCATTGTAAAATTTCACACCAAAGCAGTAATTGGCAGGGACAAAATTATATAGCAATTAGGGCATGACAGCAAAAGCAAACAAGTACTGAAAATGGGTTCCACACTTCTGGTAACAAGCAGGTAATTATCACAGCAGCTTGAAAGGGGCATAATCAACCAAACTGACATCATCCCACCCACATAATAAATGTGAAATCTCTCTAGGTCCAATGTGGCTTTTACCCACAGCTGGTAAATGTGGCTGGTTTAGTCTCCATGTCTCTGCTTGCCTAGCAGCAGTTCATTCCAGATAGCTACTTTTGTAACTGGAGATTTCATTTAGTGTAATGTTTTACATACACACAACACACACACATACACAAATTTTTAAAAGCTGGGGACCCGCAAGGATTTGTGTGGAGCATCTCATTTCCCTTACCCTATTTCTTCTTTTCCTTTCCTGAAAGACCCCCTATCTCCCCTTTTCCTGCTTCCTTCTCACCCAACAACCAACTTCCCTTTAGATTTCTACTTTCCTTATTGATAACAAAAATACAAATTAATGCTTTAAACTAATGATCAAAATGTGTGTGTATGTAGAGAAAGAAGACGACACACGCTCTACAAGGAAACAATCTGGTTTTATTTCCTTTGTTAGGATTCAATAATATACTTACAATATTAAAAGCTCTACCAAGCTAATTTCAGCGGCCCTATATTACCAAAATCTACCCAAGTCTTTCTCAGTTACTCCCCCCTCCATTTATTCTTTAAGCTGGATAGATAAATCTTAAAAAGAAGAGAAGTTTGGAATCCTTGATTTACTTTGTTTCAGTTCCTATTCCATCCTTTCCCAAGTGCCCCAAACAAATAACAGCATTAAAAAACCTACTTAAAACAGAATACCTAATTAAAATGTGTACTGTATTTTATACACACAGAACTCGGTCAGCCTCCTCACTGCTGTGCTTATGTACCATTAATGTAACTGACCACATGGAAGTATTCACAGCAACTGTAGTTAGGCTGTTGCCAGATGAAACGAGGATGCCAATAAAGCATGAGGCAAGATTTACATTGAAAGATAATGAACACTGGCTTATCATTAAAGGAACAAGCTTGGGAAATCTTTGGTCTCATGTGTTCTTTCCTCTCTTTGTGTGTGGCTAAAAGTCAACCACTTTAATAGCAAATCACAAAATTATGGGTTGCTCTTTGCCCTTTGAGCTAGGATTAAACAGTGTCAGGGAATAAACCATAGTCTGCAGTTCAGACAAACAAAACTACAGTTTGCCACAAAAACATTTAACTTTCCAGCCTAGCATAAGAAGAGAAGGAGCAGGGCTGTTAAGTAACTTTTTTCGTAGGGGGTGCAAACTACTGAAATTGCACCCCCATCCACTTTACACACCAACCTCACCATATTATCTTTTAGTGGGAGATTTTTTTGTCACACACAAAATGACTGGCAAAAAATGGTTTTTAAAAAATCCTCCCATGCTTACCTGCCTTTTATTGATGATACACTAAAACTGTTTAACATACAATTCAGTAATTTACCATAATTATAAAATATTTTGTTAGTTGCTTTGAGAAGATATTTGACAACAAAAAAGCAGAATGTTTAATCTCTCAACAAATGAAAAGTGCTATCAAAGTCTGAATACATAAATGGTCCACAAGCTAAACTGAGTCTGGCCTATAAGTAAGAACAGACCTGCTGGATCACTCCAGTGGACCATCTAGTCCTGCCTCCTGTTTCACACAGTGGCCAACCAGTTGCCCTAGAGGACTAACAATCAGGGCATAAAAGTTGGGTCCTTCCCAAGGTTACCTCTCAGCAGTGGTATTCAAAATCTTACTGCATCTGAATACACAGGGTGCCTTTGGTCACCATGGCTAATAGAAAAACAGGTTGCTTACCTGTAACTGGTGATCTTTGAGTGGTCATCTGTGCATTCACACCCATGGGATACAGTGTGCATGTGCTGGATCAATCGGCATTGTAGCAAGCTCTTAACGGATTTTCGTGCCCAGACCTAGGGCATGCGCAGGAACCCCACCATGCATGCCCAGAGGGGTGGGCGCGGACATCCCGCCAGTTCCTTCGAACCACCACGAATCAACCCCTATGGAAAATGTAGAAGCTGACAGCAGCGGGGAAGGAGGTTGGGTGGTGTGAATGCACAGATGACCACTCGGAGATCATAAGTTACAGGTAAGCAACCTGTCTATCTTTGACGTGGTCTCTGTGCTTTACATCCATGGGAGATTAGCGAGCAGTGGCCTACCTGGAGGAGGGTGCTGGCAGGTCCTTACTGCGAAGCCGAGGATAAGATGTGACGTCCCATGTTGGTACAAGAGTTCTTTCGGACGTCTAGGGCATAGTGCCTAATGAACGTGTTAGGCGTAGCCCACATAGCGGCTCTGCAAATGTTCATTAAGGGAACTCCCTGGAGGAAGGCAGTTGAGGTTGCAACAGCTCTGGCTGAATGAGCCCTGATAGGGCCAGGCAATGGCTGCTTGGTGATAAGGTAGCAGAGGCGGATGAGACCTGCAATCCACCTTGATAGGTGCTGAGCCGTGATGCGAGTCCCCAGCCTTGCTGGCGCAAAGGAGACGAAAAGTTGAGAGTCACGCCTCGTTGGACGGGTTCTATCTAAGTAAAACAGGAGCGCACGCTTCATATCCAACGTGTGTAACAGCCCCTCCTCTGAGGATGTCGGCGCCGGGAAGAAATCCGGGAGGAAGACCTCTGCCTGTAGGTGAAATTCTGACACTACCTTTGGCAGGAACGAGATGTCAGATACGAGGTGAACGCCGTCTGGCAAAAAAGACAAGTAAGGAGTGTCATGTTTGAAAGCCAGCATTTCTCCAACTCACCTTGCTGAAGTGACAGCGACTAGAAAGGTCGTTTTCCACAACAGGTATTTTAGGTCACAAGTTGCGAGCAGCTCAAAAGGTTTCCTGGTGAGTTGGCGAAGGACCAGAGGAAGGTCCCAGGGGATGACAGGAGTTTTGATGGGAGGGTAAAGGTGCAACAGTCCCTTCAAAAAATGCTTTGAAAGTGGATGCGAGAACAGTGTGCATCCTTCAATTTGAACATGGTAGGCCGAAAGTGCAGCCAAATAAACCCTTAACGAGGAATGTGAAAGTCCCGCGTCAGCGAGAGACAGGAGGAATTAGAAAACTTTCTCGAGACCTGCGGAGGTGACTCGAGGGGCATCATCACCCAAAGAGGAACAGAATTTTTGCCACTTGTAATGATAGGACTTTTGCGTAGTGGACTTTCTGGAGTTTAGCAAGACATTTGCTATGCGGGCAGAAAAGCTGTTGACGCTACTCTCTAAGGCTGTCAACTTCATTCGTGGCACGTCGTGGTATAGGAGACGGGACTCGGTTAGGAACAGGAGGTCTTGTGCTGGAGGAAACTGGTGGTAGTTCCCCGCTGATAGATTAAGGATGGTTGAGAACCATAGTTGCCTTGGCCACCACGGGGTTATGAGGACGCAGTCCGCTCTGTCGCTGATGATTTTCCGGACCACTCTCAGGAGCAGTGGCAGTGGAGGGAAGAGGTAGAGAAATCCTCTGGACCACGGATAGAGGAGACCGTCCGGTAGAAACTGTGGGTCCCTGCCACCTCGGGTGCAGAACAGAGGGCACTTTTGTTCGCCCTGGTGGCAAAAACATCTATCTGGGGGAACCCCCACCTGCGGAAGAGTGGAAGAAGGTACATTGGATTCATTTCCCACTCATGGAGACTGAGTCCTGCCCGACTCAGGTGGTCTGCCTGTACATTCATGTGCCCTGGGATGTGCGTGGCGGCTAGGAAGATGTTGTGGGCGATGCAGAAGTCCCATAATTGGAGGGCGAGGTCACAGAGGCATTGGGAGACAGTGCCCCCTAGCTTGTTCACATAACTGAGGGCAGTAGTATTGTCCGTGAGGACCGTGACACATTTTCCCTCGATCAGAGGTAGGCAACTGGTGACAGCAAACTGTATTGCAAGCAGTTCCAGGAAATTTATGTGCCGATTTCGTTTCTGAGTGTCCCATCTGCCTCCGACACAAAGTCCCATCATGTGGGCGCCCCAGCTCGAGACGGAGGCATCTGTCATTAGGGTCATTTGGGGTGATGGAGGATGGAAGGGTGCTCCCTGGAATAAGTTGGAAGGGACAGTCCATCAAAGTAAAGAGTCTCGTACTTTTGACAGGTGAGAATAGGTGTGTGGTGTGTGTGTCCCTCTCTGGATTGAAATTGCGGATAAACCATAGTTGTAGGTGACGCATTCTTAATTTGGCAAAAACCAGGACTGATGTAGTAGCAGCCATGACGCCAAGAAGCCTTTGTATTTGAAAGGCCGTCACTGAGGGCCAGGTACGAATGACAGTGGCTAGGTTCATGATGTCAGCTGCCCTGTTTTGTGGCAGGTAGGCTGTGCAAATCGTGGAGTCCAGTAGCGCACGGATGTAGTGTATTTTCTGGACCGGTTGAAGTTGAGACTTTTCCAGATTGACTTGTGGACCCAGGTTTTCCAGGAGGACCAGTGTCTCGTTGATGTTTGAGACTAGGGTGTCCCTGGAAGTCGCTACCAAGAGCCAATCATCGATGGAGATACCCTTGAGACGAAGGAAGGCCGCGACCACCACCATTGTCTTTGTGAAGACTCTTGGTGCACTTGAAAGGCCGAATGGCAGGGCCGCATATTGGTAATGATGTTGACCAATTGTAAAGCGTAGGTATTGGTGGTGGGATGGGTGGCTGGTGAGGCTCCCTTTTGCAGAAGGACGGACACTTCTTTCAGGAGGGCTGGAGAAGGGTGTGTGGAGACGAAGACAGGAGTGATGGGGTTCTGAATGAATTCTATGTGGTAGCTCTAGGTTAAGATGGACAGCACCCATTCATCTGTGGTGATGAGGTGCCAGGTTTGGAGGAAAGGGGTTAGATGGGTCAGATGTGACTGGGAGATATGGAAATCAAAAACCCTACTTGGCGGACTTTGCCTCCTTACTGCGGGAAGACTGTTGTCCCGATCCAAATCTAGGTTTCTGGAATGAGGGTTTCTGGCCTCCAGAGGATGTTCGTGGCCTCCATTGCCAGTCAAGAGATTGACGGTTTGGGGTGCATTTGTGCCAGGGTCTGGACCAGGGACGAGGTCGGTATTGCTGCCTCGTGGATGAGGAAACGCCCAGAGCACGAGAAGCTTTTATGCTTTTATCCATATCTTGTAATATGGTGTCTGTAGTACTGTTAAACAGACCAAGGCCATCAAAGGAGAGGTCCTCTACGTATGACCTAGTATCTGGCTGTAGATTGGTGTTGCGTAGCAAGGAATGGCTTCGTAGAGCTATGGCTGAAGCCATTGTCCTTGAGGAAGTGTCTAGGTCATGTTTGGAGGTATTGATTTGTTGCTTTACCAGCACCATGCCCTCCTTTTGGATGATGCGGGCTGCCTGATGCTTGTCTTCTGGAAGGTGAGCCAGAAGCTCAGCAAGCCTTTCCCACAAAGTGTACTGGTATCTACTCATACACGCTAAGTAATTGGTGGTCTTTACTCCTAGTGCTCCCGTAGAGTACAAACGTCGTCCAAATGCATCTAACTTTCTGCTCTCCTTGTCTGAAGGTGCAGAATGTGTTCCCTTGGACTTGGATGAGGAAGTGACTACCATGGAGTTTGGTTAAGGATGGGCGAATAAGAATTCTGCTCCTGTTTCTTGGACCCTGTACATATGGTCCAAGCGACATGTGGACACTGGAGCTGATGACGGTTTATCCCATGGGGCCTTTGCTGCCTTTACCAGGACCGTAGACATGGGTAGGGCTATAGCCATCGATGTATCTAGCGGGACAGCATCTGTTACCTGTGGATGTGGTTGTACGACTGAAAGGCCGAGGGAGTGTGCCATTCTTTTTATAAGGTCTCCATAGGAGGTTAAATTATCAGAGGGATATAGGTTGGTCATCGGCTACTGCCTGGTTAGGATACGGTTGGTTAGGGGAGCTGTGGACATCTGAAGCCCCTGTATCAGAATCCTCATCCACAGAGTCAGAGGAATCGGGCTCTGGCAATTGTACCGGAGTGGTCTTGACCTGACTGGTTGGATATGTTGACAGTGGGATAGGGGGACTGGGAGGATGATATTGATCTGGTCGATGTTGAGGAGGGTCATCAGATGGATTATCTGGTGGTTGGGAGAGAGACGCCGAAGACCTCGATCTATAGGGTGACCGTGATCTGTGGGTAGAGTGACGATCCCAATCAGAGTAATCTGCTGGAGTCAACCACGGCATGGATGCGGGTGGATAAGCCCCATAAAGATAACGCAGTTGGCGGTGATCCCAGGAGAGAGGAGGAGGTGGGGGGGCAGGAAGACTCGTGGGAATCTACTCCTAGAGCGGGAGCATCTGGGAGACAGTGTAGGATCTCGTCTCTGTGAGCGGCCCCTATTAGCCCGATCATCGGTATTGAAGGGCCGATCCTCGGTGAACAGACAGGGAGGATGATGTTGAGTCCTTTTAGGGATCTGTCGACGCCGAGCCGCATCAATACCGGCATGGCACTCTAAGAGAGGTGATGTCGATGATTGAGCAGTGGGAGAGCGATCCGTGCCCAGGGGACGACTGAGGATCTCGACATTATCGATGTCGGAGAAAGGATGCATATCAACCAGTGTGTCATGGTCTAGCTGGTGTATGGGAGAATCCAGTAGCTGGATGGTCGGTATCGGTGGAGCGATGGGAGCCTCCGAAGCCGATACTTCCGTTGGAGCAGGGGGCACGTTAGGGGCATTACCCGGTGCAGTACCCGCTATATTCCCAGACTTCACTGCCTTTAGGGCCTTAGAGGAGCCCTTTTTGGCCGACTTGTGCTCTTTACCCATCTTCTGTTTCCTTTTCACGGGCGTCGATGCCACCGGTGGCGAACGTTTCGATGTCGACTGAACGATGTCGGACAAGGGCTTTAAAACCGGAGCTGTCGATGTTGATGGTCTTACCGGCCCTTCTGAGTCCATGACTGAAGCGGGGTCTAGTGCTGACTCTAGTAACGCTACTCAGAGTCACGCTGCTCGTTTTTTTTCTAGTTTGATTGGAAAACTTGGCGCAGTGTCGACAGGACTCTGGTCGGTCCGTCTCGCCAAGACAAAAAATGCAGAGGGTGTGGCCGTCAGGTGGAGCAAGCTTACTGCCACAATCCCTGCAATGCTTGAAAAACCCCACTTCTTCTCCATGAAATAAGCTATACGGAGAAGAAGAGGTGGGGAGGAGGGGGGGAGCCCGAAGGCCAGAGTGAGGTAAACGAAAAAACTTCCCCCGAAGCGAAACAAAGTACTTTTTTTTGAAGAAACAACAAAAGAACAAAGTTAGAAGCGAAAAATAAAGAAAACTGAGGAGAAAACTGAAGAGCTCTGAGGAGAAAAAAAGCTACCGATCAGATCAACTAAAGGAAGGTGCTTCCAGCGCAGTGGAAAGAAAGGAACTGGCGGGATGTCCGCGCCCACCCCTCTGGGCATGCATGGTGGGGTTCCTGCGCATGCCTGAGGTCTGGGCGCGAAAATCCATTAAGAGCTTGCTACAATGCCGATCAATCCAGCGCATGCGCACTGTATCCCATGGGTGTGAAGCACAGAGACCACGTCGAAGATCATAAGAGAAGCAGTGTTGGATCAGGCCAATGGTCCATCTAGGCCAACTCTGTCACACAGCAACCAAAGCCCAGGTGCCATCAGGAGGTCAACCAGCGTGGACAGAACTCCAGAAGCCCTCCTAATGTTGCCCCACAAGCACCAAGAACACAGAGCATCACTGCCCCAGACAGAGTGTTCCTTCTATACCTTGCAGCTAATAGCCGCAGATGGACTTCAGCGGGGGTTAATGCCATAGAGTCCACCTTCCAAAGCAGCCATTTTCTCCAGGTGAACTGATCTCTGTAGCCTGGAGATCAGTTGCAATCCCAAGAGATCTCAGACCACCACCTGGAGATTGGCAAAAAAACCCACCCCAAACTGGATAAACCTTTTTTTGTTAGCTTCACTTTTTGTGAGAATGCAATTAAGATGCTACACCAGCGGGAACCTCTTTTCAGCAAGCCTTGCAAAAATCTGTTTCAACATACAGCAATTGTTGATATTGTGGAGAATGACGCACCAGGGTTGCCAACTTCCAGCTGGGGGCTGGAGATCCCCCAGAATTACAACTGATCCCTAGACTGCATAGATAGCTTATTTATTTGCTAGCTTGTTTATTTGCTTGCTTATTATGTAAAACATTTGTTCCACTTCTCCTGGAGAAAACGGCTGCTTTGGAAGGTGAACTGTATGGCACTATTCCCTACTAAGGTGCCTCTCCTCCCTAATACTCATCCTTCCAGGCTCCACCCTCAAATCTCCAAGTATTTCTGAACCTATAGTTGGCAATTCTAGGGAATGCTGACTACATTCAGATGTGGAAGAATTGTATAAGAGCACAAAATTATTGGGGCATTGTTAAAATTAAGCATTCCAGAGGTATTTAACATATGGCAGCGTTAGTGCCGGAATTATTTCTGTTAAATTATGTTGAATCTTGTCCTAAGTAGTACTGGACTTTACATTATTACTACTGAAAAAATAAAATTTGCAAAGCCGGAAAAAAAATATCTCCCAACAGATAGAGTCTTCATGGAGAAACTTAAATCTTTACATGTCAAATTATTATTAAGTAGATGGAACAATATAATAAAATAAAACAAACTTTTAATGGCTACCTTCTGGCCTGATTTTATGGATTTTTCTTTAGGCTGCTGGTGCTGTTTTCTGTTATTTTACTGGCTTGTTTTTAATACTGATCATACAAATTGTGATTTTTATTATTTCATTGTATTGTTTTGACTTGCAATCCACCTCAAAAAGGTTTCTGAAGAGGTAGCATATAATAAAATATCAATTCATTTTATTGCATTAGCTCAAAGCCACAGCAGAACAGCAATAAAAAAAAACCCAAGGCAATTACAGTATCAAGTAAAATCCATAAAATAAGCATAGGAAGATTAAAACACATGCTAAGATTTTGAAATATAACCACGATAACTAAAAGAAGCAGAACTAAAAATAACTTACTATTCCTTACTGTCACTAATAATTTATATTTATTTATTATTTGTATTTATACCCCGCCTTGCCTGACAAGTGATTCAGGGTAAAGCTGGTATACTATTCATTGACCAGACTCGCATCAGAGGGTCTTGACTGTATCTTTATAACCAGGGTCACAAACCTTTGCCAGTTATAGTTTACCCATTTATCTCTGCCTGCAAGTAATATCACCACTTTGTTCTGGTCCAGCCTCCCTGAGCATCGTGATAAAATGTTCCCGATATCTTTCACAATCTACTGCAAACCTTGGGCACCAAAGAATCACATGAGCCTGGTCCTCAATTGACCTATGGTTGCAAGAGCAGACTCATTCATTATATGGGGTCTCATTATAACGACCTCTTAATTTAAAGTACCCATACATGCCTTATTAGTAAAGGCCTTTCTATATTCAGAATTTGATAAATCAGTAAAATAGGCCAGAAGTTTAATAAATATAGTCATGACAACAGTGTGATTTCCAACAAGGTGTAGATGTAAACTCAGCAATTCAATAGTGAAGACTAACTTTGCATTTATAAGGCTACTGCCTACTCTGTAATTCAAGGATCTCTAATCTTGTTGAGCTCATAGGTACTTCTGGATTTTTTAGAAAGGGTAGTGAGTACTACCACAGAATTGGTCTCATAGGACAGAGATCAACCACAAAATGGCTACCACAAGGTGGGGCCAATAACACCATATTGGCAGATTCTGAGCCAAGCAGCTGCTCCAAATGGCACTCTGTCTGAGCAGATACAAATGGAATTGTCAGTCCCTTGCTAGTCAGTCCACAAAAACAACAACTGTCATTGTCATTAATTTTAAACAGACAGGAGAGTTTAGCAAAAAAAACCCCACCAAAACAACCCCACAAATCTTCAGAGAAACAGGCATGGACCAGGACAAAGCAGCAGAGCATGTTTTGTTGTGCTCCTTCCCTGATTATTTATTTATTTATACCCCGCCCATCCTGCGAACAGGCTCAGGGCGGCTAAGGAGAGTGGTACAATGTACCTAATTGGCATAACCATAAAAATTTTAAACTACATAAAATACATACTAACTCATATCATATAATAAAATAACAGTTTACAATAAAGTGCTCGCAGTGTTAACAAATTAGATGGCGCACTCTTCAGATCTAAATCCGCGTTGTCCATCCAGCCATCATCCCGTGGGCAAATACAGGCCTAGCAATGCATCTGGGTCAGTCCTAAGTTCCAGAAGTTCGATGGAATCATTAATGGCAACAGTAGTGGTGGCAGCTCCTATTTAAAAGCCTGGCGGAAGAGCTCGATCTTGCAGGCCCTGCGGAACTGTAAAAGGTCCCGCAGGGCCCCGATCTCCTCCAGGAGCTCATTCCACCAGTAAGGAGCCACCACAGAAAAGGCTCTGGCCCTGGTACTGGTGAGCCTTGCATCCTTGGGGCCCGGAATGGTCAAGCGATGTTGGGCCCCTGACCATAGTGCTCTCTGGGGTACATATGGAGAAAGGCGGTGTAACGATTCCTTGTTTCTGTGTGTGTGTGTCTCTTTAAAAGTTTGGTTGCATGGCTG